ACCAGGAATGATGTATTAAACTTATTCTGTGCTGACAAGAATTTATAGAAATTCACTGAATATCAAAAATCTCACTAAGCCGAAACGTACTTCAGAGCATGAACATTCTAGTCAGTGGTTTGATTTTAAATGAAATGGAAAAACAAAGTACTCAAATTAAATACTATAATGTACACAGTTTAAAGAAAATCCAAGCAAGTTTGGAGGAAATGTTTACGTATATTATACTTACCCATTTGCCTTTTTAATTTATAAATCCTGCGGCGGTAGTAGATCACAAAGGCAATCAGGATCAGCAGAACAGGAACAATAACACCAACAACTATTCCTGCTATAACACTCGAAGAAAGACCTGCATCTGGGACAGGTATGAAGAGAGACACTGGAAGTGTCAGTCAATGTGATAATCTGAAATTGTTTCAGATATATGCTAATAATACCATATATCGCTATAATTGAATGAGTTACTCACCACTTACAGAAACCAGGAATCTCTGCAAGCTCTCACTGCCTCTGATCTGTAGTTCATAAAGTCCAGAGTCTGTGGTTCTGGTGTTCTTGATGGTCAGAGATCCGGTCTGATCCAGCTGCAGTCGATCTTTGAATCCCTCATCAGCATCGGTTAGTGAGGTCTCATTTGTCTCAAAGTCAATTTTAGCCAGGAGGATGCCTTTATCACCAAACCTCCACAGCATCAGAGCATCTTGGTGTATTTCAGAATCAGTATGTAGAGTGACAGGATCTCCCTCCAGCACTGACAATGACACTGACTTAACTCCGTCCGTCTTACCAACCACAACTGGAAAATGAGCAGAACAATAATAAAATGTAGAGTTTTACAATGTCTCACAATTGAAATTCTGAAAGAACGTTAGTCCCATTATGAAGACCTGCATGTATGGTGCAAAATCAGTAAATTCTCACTTAATAAATGCTTGTTAAACACAGACGTGTCAGTTATTCAAGTGTATGGTTTAAAACCATCCAGACCGACTGATCAAATTATTACTAATCCTGTTTAAATATGAAAAAACACCACTAGGAACTGGATCATTGTTACAATGCAGACTTACCAAAGACAGTAACATTAAATATCTTGATTGTAGTCTTTTCTCTAGAGAAGGATAGTTTATATTGTCCAGAGTGTCTGATTCTTGTGTTTCTGATGGTGAGAGAGCCAGTGTTTTGATCCACCTGCAATCTGCCTCTGAATCCCACATCATCGGTGACCAAAAATGAGGTCAGGTCATCCTCTCTTCGGATTTGAGATATGAGAGTGTCTTTAGGTCCAAACATCCATAATATTGTATCGTCATTCAATATTTCCGAAAGATCAGATTGTAGAGTGACAGCATCCCCCTCTGTCACTGACATGTTCTCAGTTTTACTTGTCTCTCCACCTAGAAAACAAACAGAAACGGTTTTATTGATACAACACTAACTACAGCAAACAGATTCAACTGCAATCATTGTGTGAGCTGCTAAAAAAGACAAATATGTGATTAGCCTACTTTTTAGACTTTTAAGGGAAAAACTGTGAAAATTAAGACCATAAATGTCACGATCACCAGCTGGAGTGCCCATGAGCTCCACTGGAGGGCACTCCTTACTACTCCTTTGCCATTCCATCACAGACTACATTTCCCATAAACCTTTGCCTGGACTTATTGTTGTGTGATTACTTCCACCTGTGTGTCATTAACTTGTTAAGTCTGTGTGTATATAAGGTCTGCGCTTCAGTTGTGGTTGGTCAGTCATTGCTTCCTGTACGTGTGTTTCTAGTTTACACTTTTGCCTTCTCCGTGTGGATTATGTTCCTGACTCCTCTATGTGGATTGTACCCTGGTTCGTGGATTGGATTATTAGTTTTTTGTGTTTAATAAAACCCTGTGCTTGCATTTGGATTCTCGCTCCTCCTTGTCCTGGCTTGCATGTTACAATAAATGTGAAAATTAAAAAACACAAGCTATGTATCAAAACAAGATAAATGTATGAAGCACGATGAATAAGTGATTAACACTTGTTTGCCATAAGAATAAGAAGAATGTAAGCAAATAGGCCTATTAAACGTTTAGGCAAGCAGGCGTTTTTACCAAACTGGATTCTACCGATGAAGATGCACTGTTTACTTTGAAAACAGGCAAACTGTCTATGAAAACAAAAAGACTATGAATACAAAAATTCAACAGGCTTTTTGCCGATCGACAGCTATTCAATTTGATTTTGCAAGGGCCTCGTTATATTTGGGGGTCTTAGTTACCGAAATGATCAGGTCAAAAAGCCTTCCTGATGTCGAGATTGAAGTCAGCTTTAGGCTAAGTTAAATTGCACTGATTCTTGAGACATGGGACAAAACATGCCCAGCAATTGTAACTGCTATTAGGTTTAAAAATAAAAATATTTTCAATTTTAAATGTCATGAGGGATTAATAATAGAATGTGTTTAACACAATTATCACCTTCAATTTAATTTTCTCATTATTATACCAAATCTGTGTTTCTTAATGTCCTCTCACTACATCTAAAACAGTGTGTCCAGAGAAGGGTTCAATCATTCATATGCAATATAAAAGAGACAAAAAAAAAAAAATGTAATGATGAAAAAGAGCTTGTTTTATCAAAAGCAACACTTAATATATCTCATATCAAAGCAAGGTTGTTTTTTTATGACATATGCATGTTTCATAAGATTTTAAAGTTGCGTCCCCACTTTTCAGACATTCAATAAAATGTAATAAAACCAGGGAATATCAGGGGCAGCTGTCACTCTAAAGGACCCCCTTGCCACAGTTCACCTCTGCAGAGTACATCAGTGTCAGACAGGCTCTGCTAAGTTTTATAGTTGTAGAATATTTTAAATCCTAATGTTAATATTTCCTGTGTCACAGCCATGATATGTCAACACCATCTTCCAATTTCTGAGGAAATTATTTGAAATATGTAGATAATTGTATTCTCCTGAAGCAGGTTCCATTAGCATCTAGCATCAACAGAAAAAAATAAAATGCTACTACATGAACTCCATTGGTTTTGTGAAAGAAATGCCAAATTTGTCAACACCGTCAGATGTCACCACCATAAGATTTTGTGTTCCAATGATATATCAAAATACTTGATCCTCTCCAAGGAAACTTGTGATTACTTCGAGAAACTTTCTCTTTACTCGGTTTGCCCCTCTTTAATCGTCAGACCCCAACCTCTGCATTCATGCTCGGGTAAGTGACATAAACACTTTTCTTTTAACTTTTTTTTTTTTTTTTTTTTTTTTTTTTTTTCTTTCCGCAATGTTTTCTAATTTTGAACGGACGTTGATATCCCTCACTTAGGCTTTCTTTACTTTTCTTTTATCTTTTTATTATCTCTTTGCCCTCATATCTATAAAAAAATAGGCTACAATTGCACTGCAAAACTTTCAACCCACCAAAACCGATGCATTTAACTTTTTCATGGTAATTACTAATTAAGAACATAAAGCGGAAAATATAGTCATAATATGAGAAGAAATTGCACAAATTATTGTGTCAAGTTAAACGAAGTAGCCTATTTAACGACGAAAGCATTGTTTATAATGAGATTGCAACATGCTGTTGTAAATAATATATTAAATATGATTTTTTTTACACAGAAATAAAATAGTCACTTTGTTGGTTTTTTTTTTAATGCATTTGTACTCTTTGCACAAATTTGAAGAATGCTTGCTCCGAAACTGTGTAGCACATATTTTCGCTTCTCATAATGTGTTCATATTAGTTGCTCAATGCAATAGTTTTTAAAACTAATAATAAAGGAAAAAATATAATTGAACTTATATTGTGTTTCTAAATTCTGTATAGGCTACGGAACGGTCAGGAAAGCGGTAAGAGTCTATTACTGAACACAGTATATTTCTAAATTCAGTATTTGAAGCAACGGCCAGGAAATCGATAGTTATTATTGGTATTTTATCCTAAATTAAACAATACGTCATGCTAAATATAATAAACAATTGTATATTTTACCCATAGATGTTAAACTACTCCAGCTCCCTTTACGCACTCGGTAAAGTGCGATTTATCAAATTCCGATTCATATTCCTATTTAAAAGTTAAAATAGTAGAACAAATATCAGTATTTAAGTTCAAACCCTGTTTGTACGTCGTGAGTTAAATTGCTCAATAGACACTGTATGATGAAGTCTTTTACTCTCAAAAACATAAAAGATAAAGGTACAGCTGAAAGTGGTATGCCTTTTTGCCTTATAACCAAAATATGTATATAAAAAAGAATGTGATAGATTTACTTCAGTAAAGATACCCGATTTGTACACTCCACAGACAGACGTCCCTTTGAAATATCATCACTTCTCCCTTTTGATTTATCATGGCACAATGAGATGACACTCATCATATTTCATCTTTAAACATTTTAGCCTACCATGTTTTGACCGTTTTTGCCTCAGTGACCTCGGGGTATTAGTGTGCTCATATTCCCCAAACTGCATTTGTTTCATTCATTTAAACTGTCACATTTATAATGAGTTGGGTATCTGTGGTAAAATAATGACATCTTCTCCTCTTACTCGCCCCAAGGAACACAAACTCTTGGAAGCCACAGGACATTTATCTATTTACAGAACTGTTGCCACACTCTTGACTATGCAACATAGGATGCAGTCAGGTATGACATCCTGAAGCAACAGGTGCAATGTCATTCCAGCATAATGAGCAGCATTGTGTGAAGTTCACAAAATGTTCCTGGCATGCCATTAATCCAGGTTGTAATACATCAGGCAAGAAATGCCTTTTTTATAACCAAAATATGTATATAAAAAAGAATGTGATAGATTTACTTCAGTAAAGATACCCGATTTGTACATCTTGTCTTGTATTACATTCACATTAGCGTTGTCTGATTGGTGGTTGTTGTATATCAATTCATTCATCTGCCCCAAAATACATTTTTTTTTTTTTTTATTATTATTTCCAGCATAATGAGCAGCATTGTGTGAAGTTCACAAAATGTTCCTGGCATGCCATTAATCCAGGTTGTAATACATCAGGCAAGAAAAAAATAAATAAAAAATGTTTGACCCTCAAGATCATGATTGCATCATGGTAGTATTGGTAGCGGCACCTGCGTAATTAGGTTTAAGGGATTGATTAAGCACATTTGTGAATTCACAGCAGCAACTGTGACCCATCCAAAGGTTTAGCAAGTATTATTCCAGTTGTCATTTAAAACTCACTGTTCCTTATACTCGTAGCACATAAATGTTCCCTATATTAACACTTGACATGTATGCTGACAGTTATCCGTACCAGGCCCACCAGTGCAGGCCATTTTTCTTTTTTCTTTTTTTTTTCTTTACTGTAGTTATACGACCAAATAAAATCTGGTCCTGTAAAACGAAGTGCTGAAAGTTGCAAGGCAAGCAAGTTGTTCAGGTCAGAATGACTGATCTCACAGCAAATCTTGTTTTGCATTGATGGATAGCTTTAGGTACATACTGCTCTTGTTTCACAACACGAAACCATCGAGAGATTTCCCTTCATTTCACAACCAGGCGTCTCCAGATCATATTAAAATGATGCTCAAAAAGCCAATACTGCAGATTTGATACTTCGAAACATTTATGTCACTCTTAAAAATAAAAGTTCTTTATTGACATTATCGTGAAGAATCTTTAACATCCATAGCATCTTTCAAATGCACAAAAAGTTTTGAAACTGGAAAAACGTTCTTCAGATTATTAAAATGTTCTATACACTATAAAAAAAAAAACATGGTTCTTTTGAGAACAGTTGACTGAATTGTTTTCGGAGCAACCAAAAATGGTTCTTCGATAGCATCGCTGTGAAAACTCCTTTATTTTTAACAAAATATACGTTTATGAAACTGAGTAGTAATTACATGCAGTTATTCATTTAGCAGACAAATGTATCTAAAGTAATTTAGCATCAAGTGTTGGGGTGCAAAATTCCAAACTAGTCCAGAAAAGTGCAAAGCATCCCTCTCCAATCCTGATGCGTGTTGACAGAGAGCATCTTCGCTCCCTCATATCTGCTGTGCAATTTGTGAAATCAGAGACACATCCTCTAAACGGACGGGATCTTGATAAAAATAGCTTTAACAGGTCTTTCGCTTTCATCATACACAACCCAACAAACATAGACGTACATGTGTATGCGTGACAAAACATGCATGCAAATGTATACATACGTAGTATTAGGTATGCGAGAATAGGCAGGCACATTTACGCACACATGTACGTCCAGCTGTGAGATACAAGGCAGTGTGAGAGTTTTGACAGGCCGGAGCGGGGGATAGAATATCCAGCCCAAATATCAGAACGCTCCACACACTGTCTCTGCATGCAAATGTATACATACGTAGTATTAGGTATGCGAGAATATGCCTGCCGCACATTTACGCACACATGTACGTCCAGCTGTGAGATACAAGGCAGTGTGAGAGTTTTGACAGGCCGGAGCGGGGGATAGAATATCCAGCCCAAATATCAGAACGCTCCACACACTGTCTCTTTTCAATTCTGAGGGGTGTGAGATATTCTATATGCCAGCACATCAATGGATGATACTGCTTAATATAGAATGTAACTGGCATTAAGACTGTCACTTACTGAAAGGCCA